TATTTTCCTCAGAGCACACACAATATTCACTGATTGCCACATCACATCAAATAGTTCCTGTTGGGATGTTAAGTGAGTTTGCTTTTTGTTTTTCAGTTTTGCTGATTCTCTGTTGTGAGTAGTTGTGGGTTTGGCTCTTGGTGATTCCTGTAAGGTTCTCAAATGGAAGAGTGATTTTTGGAGCCCACCCCAGATTTGCCTTTATCACCGTTTAGCCCGAAAAGGTCCAGTTTCCAAGTTACTTTGTTTTCAGGTGGCAGAGCCTTTTCCAAACGTAGGTCAGCACCCAGTGTTACAGGAATAGAAACGTTTTGTAGGAGTTTGAAAACTCAGGGCTTGGGATTTAGTCCTGATTTCCTTTAGATTGTGATTTGGGTGTGAAACACACTCCCCACCTGAAGGGGTAGTGGGAGAGGGTGGCCCCAAGCAGCAGGCAAGCAGTGCAGTGAGGGAAGGGAGCCCTGGCCCCGGGAAGAAGAAACCCTGAGGGAGGCCAGGTGGATGAGACACGTACCCAGACTCAGCCCTTGTCCCAGCACCTGATAAGTCCGTGATCCTGGATTGGAGCAAAAGTTTTATTCTTAGAAGTTCCTTGAACAGTTATTTTTAAAACAGAAGAAACTGAGGGAGTGGTCAGAGTTAGTGGGGATTACGAGTAATGCTATCAACTTGTGTGTGGATGTCACAGAAGCCCGGAAGTTAGCACAGTGGAAGTTCATTTCAAGCACGCATGCCTCCCTGTCTTGTTGGGGTCTGTATTCTGGCTTTTATTGGCTGCCCCAGGTCCTGCAGGCTCCCCCCACTCAGGTCAAAGAAGGGGAAAGCTCAGGATGGGGCTGGGGGGTGGGTTCCTGGGTCAGGCAGTACATACCACCCCGGGTTTGCTCTGTCTGAACTTGGTCACGTACAAACCCACCTGTGAGGGAGGTTGGGGAATGGGGCCAGTGCCCAGACAGGAGGAAGTGGGAATTGGCTAATAGCTGGGAGCCCCGGCCGTTTTTAGGATCGCTTTTCCCGACCCCCCGCCCTTTTTTTTTTCATGAGGATTAAATGCCTAGAGTTGGAGAGTCGAATGCACAGCTATGCTCTGTTTCTTTGTAAAATGGTAGTTCCTGAATACACTGTGGGACAACTCCAAAACCACTTGGTATGGGCACAAGGAAACCTTCTGGATCTACCTTGCTCCGGCCAGACGCCCAGCTCTATTTTAGGCTCCCCATTTTGGTACTTAGAGTCCTCTCGGAACCAGCTTTGTCTTGTCTCTTGCACCCCTCTCTGCCTTCTTCTCCCCCAAGTGACAAGTCCCATTTGTCCTTAGATTCAGCTTTAAGACACCTTTCTCCAGGAAGTTTACTCTGGATCACCTGTTAAACACACCCCTTCATTTGGATCCCCCACAGCCCCTGGACTTGGACAGCTGGGACTTCTTCCCACCCCCCACCGCGAGTTTCTCGGAAGGCAAGGCCTAATTGCTCCTTTGTTTTCCAGCCGGTGCAGACACTTAGTAGCTGTTCAGTAAATAATCTGAAGAAATGATAGGGAGACTATAAGTTTTAAAGTCATAAATCTTGGTATACTTTTATGTGTATTTTCCTTTTTCGATTTTATTATTGTTCGAGACACTGGGAGAAGACTCCATCCCATTTGATTTCCCCTCATCCGGTTTTAATAGCTGGTGTGTGGGTTTCACACCTGCAGTGTGTGGTGCTTCAGAGGTGGAACACTTTCTGAGAGGCTTTGGTGTTTTTTTTGTTTTTTTTAATTTTAGAGAGTATACTGAGTTGGGAAGGAGCAGAGGACCGAGAGAATCTTCTAAAAACAGTTTATTTATTTATTATTTATTTATTTATTTATTATTTATTTCATTTTAGTGAGAGAGGTATGCTAATACTACGCACTTGGGGGTCAGTGGGGAGGGACAGAGGAAGAGGGAGAATCCCAAGCAGGCTCCACACTAGCATGGAGCCTGACACGGGGCTCGCATCCCATGGCCCTGGATCGCTGACCACGAAATGAGTCGGATGTTAAACCTAATCGAAAGCCACCAGGCTTCCAGAAAATTTTATTTTTTTTTTTTTTATCATTTTATTATTTTTTGTTCCTTACACTTTATACCACACGAATTTTTCCTTTCTACCAGATTTCCTTTTTAAAGACTTTTACACTTTTAAACCTGAAAACGCCAGTATTTGTGAGTTTATATCCTTGGGGCTGCCTTTTACATTTCCTCACCTAATTAGAAATTTTCACATTTATCAACTTAGGAAAATTTTCCTTGTGAATCATTACTTGTCCGACAATAAATAAGGAAACATTCTGTTCCTCTGCTTTGGGTGGTAGGAATTACCTGTGTGCAGGTCATGTAAGGCGCTTGCTATTCCCTGATTGCCTGGGACGGAAGTGCTTCCTGTTTTTGACTGACTCCTCCCTGGTCGGCCTGATGTGCTCCTGGCAGATGGTGGGAGAGTCTCCATGGAGCTTCTTTTTTAACCATGGTCTCAGGAAGGCTGATGGGACTGCTAGAATTTTTGTCCCAGCTCTGTCAAAAGAGGCTACTTGCTGTGTAAGCTGGAGGTTTGGAGCCCCTGCTTAGGGTGCTGTACAGGAACGTAAGAGATGCCTGTGGTTTACTTCTCCTCCCGTTGGGCCCTGCTTGTGCTCAGACCGACCTCGGAGCCCAGCCCCTGCTGGCTCACACTTCCTGCCTTCTTTGCCCCGCTGAGCGCACCCCTCCCCCAGCTGCCCTGTGTCCCCCATGCCCATTTCTGTACATCTTAACACAGACACTTGAAGCCTCCCTGGGCATCCCCAGACAGAGGACCTCCTCCAGACACATGGTCTCTGACCACCTCCTGGGCCTTGCCAGTTCGGTCTAGTTTTGTGCCTTGCTGCTACTATGAGCCCCCTCAAGGACAGGGGTGCTGGGTCTTCCTACTCAGCCCCTGATCTCCGGCTCATGCCCAACATGTTCCTGATTGGCACTAGGGGCAGCAGAGGACGGTTCTGTGTAGTTGCTATAATGCAACTCTCATTCCTGCTGCGGGAAGAAAGGTTGTTGTTTTTTTGTTTTTAAACCACATGGGTGGCCTGCCTTGCGCCCTTCTCTATATGAGAGAGAAGACAGGGATCTGTTGGCTTCTGGGAGCATGGCCTGGGATTTGCCGCCGTTGAGGGAGAGGGCGTCACCAGGGTGAGTCTGCCACCTGGGTGAGGGAGTCTCCCACTGCCTGTTCTGTGGGAGGCAGGAGATCGGAAGAGAGACGAGAGCTCACGCTGTACGGTGGCAGGTGTTGACAGTTTGGTTTTGCTTTAGTGAGCACAGTTGTTGGAGTAGCTCAAAGAATCTAAAAGATAGTAATTCATTGAGCACCAGTTCCCACCCCTTCAGATGCCACTGAAGGACACTGCATTGCACAAGTCCCTATGTGTCCCACTGTCTCCAGTACGTTCCATTCCTACTCCGCTACGAGGTTGTTCTTACCAGTAAACAAAAACACCTACGCCTCCAACCTCAAAGAAGGAGACCTCGCAGCACTTCCTCCAGCTGTCACCCCGTGTGTTTACTCCCATCTGTGTTGCTGTTGGCACCTTCTCTCCTCTTGCTCCTTCTCAAAGTCCCTCCACGCTGCCCCCCCACCTCACCCCCTCCTTCCCCCTTAGTGTGGGCATAAACTATGAAACTGATAGGACAGTCACTAGGCTGGCCTTGTGTCATCAGTGAGCCCATAAAAACCGACGGGGGCTCTCCCCGGGAAAAAGAGATTCTAAGCGCGAGGAGGATTCTACACAAGGGAGATTCTCTGTCCCTGGCTTTGAGGACACAGGGGACAACGGCAAGGAATAGGAGAAGCATCTAGTCGCTGAGAGCAGCCACCAGCGGACAGCCATCAGGGATCTGAGGACTCAGTCCTAAAACCACAAGGAGCCAAGTTCTGCCAGTAACCAGACTTGAACCTGGACGTGGTTCGTTCCTCACCCCAGCCTCTAGATCCCCGTGAGCCGGCCGTTACCTCGGTTACAAGGCCGTTACCTCCTTGTAAGGCATCGAAAGAGAACCCACCCACACGATGATGGACCACTGATGCTGTTTTAATCCACTACATATCTGTTTGCCATTTGTCACGTAGCAAACTAGTAGACGACCAGTACGTCTCCTCCACTCAAAATTCCGCAGCTGCCCCCCTCACTCTGAGCCGAGGGCAGCGCTACGCTGGCCTACAGGCCCGGAGGTGGGACCGTCCTGACCTCCACCCTCCTCATCGCTCACTCAGCCCTTCACGGGCCTCTGTGCTGTCCCTCCACTGCACGGGGCCGGCCTGGGACCCTGCTCTGCCCGGCGTCTGCTTGGTCAACTTCCTCCCCTGCTTCGTCTTTGCGCGAGTCTCTCCCCCTCACGCACCTAATGGGCACCGCGTTGGTGGGCCACGCGGGCCAGCCTATTCTATGGCCCCTCCAGGCTCTGCTGCCTCGTCTCTCCCATGGCGCTGATCGGCACCAACACCTGTGCTCCCCTACTCACGGGCTACCACCCACCTCCCTCCGCTAGAACAGAAGCTCCTCAAAGACAAGTGTCTTTGTCTTGTTCACAGACGAATCCCGAGCACCTAGAACAGCGCCCTGGCATACGGCAGGTGCTCGGTAAGTATTTCTTGGGAAAAACGTATGATGAGAAACGTGTTGAAGGGCCCAGCACAGTGCCTGGTACACTGCAGGCACTCAATAAATTATGGCTGCGATTTGTTGCCAAAAGGAAGCAAACGAAGCACAGCCCGGCACGGGGAGGCAGCCCACCCCCGACGATCTCCGCCGCTCTTTCTGAGCACAGCCTCCTGCTGACTGACAGGCTCTCCAAACGGCTCCTGCAGCAGCAACCAGACAACCTCCCGTGTGTCCCGCCCGGACAGCTGGCCTCCTGTGGCTCCCGGCAGCCACGTCTGCAGAGGGACACCATGTGTGACACCCTCTCCACGCTGGAAGAACCACCTCGACATGAAGTTTACCTGGAGCCAGAGAAACCTCTCCAGTCGGGGCTCCAGTGACCTTCCGGGTGCTGCAGCGGTGGGTGTAACAGCTTTGCTGCGTAAATCAGCGGCTGGAGAAGAAAGGCAGGCATTCCATAATCAAGGGGTTGGGCTGCTGACAACCCGCCTGGCACAAGAGGTCGCACAGAGGAATGGAAAACCCGGAGCAGGGTCAGAGGACCCAGGCTAAGCGTGTGCCCGTGCAGACACTCACAGCACAAAGGACAACAGTCCCAGTAGCCGAGACGCCTCACGGACGTTTGGTTGCTACAATGTCAACCACCCGACTAGGGGGCCTTGGTAAAATCTTCTCTGCTTCTCCCACTCACAGCCTCCCGGGCCTGTCATGGACCCTGCCCTTCCCCACAGCCCACCCCGGAAGGCCTCGGGACACAGGGCTGACCGCAGCCTCACTCCCACCCGGCGGAACACCCAGATAACTCCAACACTGCGAGAGGGAAAGGCCTTTTAATCTGCTCACACACGACGCCCTCTTCCTACTCAGGGAATGCCGTGCCCTGACGGAGACCCACAGAGTGACCCCCCCGACCTGCTGCAGTCTCCTCCAGCCTGCCCTTGCACAGTGCACCTGTCTGCTCCAGGGACATGCTTGCAGGCTCTGCACTGCACCTCTAACCACAGCTCATCTCCTCCTGCCCTCCCGGCCCCAGGTCCGCACCCCCATGTTAAAAGAGGCAGCGTGGGGGCGGGCTCAGTCAGGAGAGCATACGACTCCAGATCTCGGGGTGGTGGATTTGAACCCCATGATGGGCACAGAGATTATTTAAGAATAAAGAAGTAAATTTTTAAAAAGAGGTCGTGTGGGGCGCCTGGGTGGCGCAGTCGGTTAAGCGTCCGACTTCAGCCAGGTCACGATCTCGCGGTCCGTGAGTTCGAGCCCCGCATCAGGCTCTGGGCTGATGGCTCAGAGCCTGGAGCCTGTTTCCGATTCTGTGTCTCCCTCTCTCTGCTCCTCCCCGTTCATGCTTGTCTCTCTGTCCCAAAAATAAATAAAAGTTAAAAAAAAAAAAAAAATTTAAAAAGAGGTCGTGTGTCTCTTATAGAAAGAGCAGGGACTTTGGAGTTGGGCCAGTGAACGTTCAGGTCCCAGCTCGGCCATGTGGTCTCCGGTGGGCAGACAGGCCCCACCTGACGGCTGCGCAGTGCCTGAGAACAGGTCAAGTGCCCGGTGCAGAACACGCACTCGGAGCAGGACAGCTACTGCCTCCCCCGGGAGCTGCTCGGAAGGCGTTGCAGAGCCCGCCCCCCCCCCCCCCCGGCCTCGTCCCCAAGGCAGTTCACCAGCACCGGTGCCGACCTTTATCTCACTGTCCGCTCTTACATGCTGGGTCTTGGGTCTGAATGCGGTCCTGAAAGCCCTGCCCAATCTGGGCTCCCACACACCTTTCTGGTCACCTCTCCTACCTCTGCGCTCTCCCAGCAACGCTGAGCTTTCTCCTGCTGCCATGACTCTACCCACGCCGATCCTTCTGCCTAAGGAACACTGTCCCGACCTCGTGCATGCTTTCAAAGACCCGCTGCCCCGTGTATTTCTTTCTGGACCTCCCCAGGGGCTTGCTGCCGTGTTCCCATCTCTCTTCAAGCCATCATCACACCGCACGCGGATTTACACGGTGGCCTCCAGCACCAGTCAGCCCAGCCTCGTATCTTCTGGCTTCCCTGGCCCCCTAGCACTCCGAGCTCAGCACCGGGATCACTTTCCTGTTCACGGCTCCGTAAGTGAGGGGCCCTCAGCTCATTCTGCAAACAAGGACACTAAGGCCCGGGAGAGGCTGAGTGCCTGCCTTACCCGAGACCACATGCCAGCAAATAGCAGGTCAAGGGAACGCCAACCAGCGCTCCTGCCCAAGTATCTCAGTAGTGAGTGCACACGCATGAGCGGGCGTGCGTGCACGTACGCACCAGCGGCTGTTTTCTGTAAACCCTGACATCAGGTCAAAGCCACCAGAACATCAGCAAGGGAACATGCTAATCCTAAAGAGGTCAAAGTCAAGTCAGGCAAAAATAAACAAGTAAGACAGGGATATGCCTCCTAGATGCCTGGGGCTTCACATCCACGTATGCTTCCGCCCTGTGACACGCGAACTTCTTTCTGTGTTCCAGACAAGAATCCTAAGTCCAGAAACCCAAGCCCTGCATCCCCGCTATGTTAAGCTACTTCACTACCCGATGCCTCGGTTTCCTCACCCATGACGAAGAATTACTTACCTAAATCTATCAGCTTTCGGTGCAGGATACAAAAACTACTCTACAAATTTTGAGCAGAAAGGGATCTAACTCAAGGACTTGGGTGATTTCAAAATCTTCGTGAGGCCTCAAGTAGTTGGCTCTAAGCTGGGCCCCCAGGAACAGCTCCCCACACCGCGCCTGCGTCGAAGGTGCCAAAGAACCACAGGATGCAAGAATGCAGCAGGATCAGGAAGCCACCACCACGGCCACCCCTTCCACCGCGGCTGCCTCTCAGCGGCCAGGAAATGAATACTCGGCTGATGCTGGGACCCGATTCCCGCCCAGAACCCCAGGCCCAAGACACACACTTCTAACCCTGGCCGCCACAGGAAGGAAGGCGGCCTGGACTGAAGGTGGCCTGGAGGAGGAACAAGCCCGCCGGCGGGATCTGCCTACCGCCCCGCCCCCCACCGTGCTCTCTCCCGTGACGTGCCACAGGCTGAGAACGGTACCGCGCAAGCTCCAGAGGCTGCCTGCTATTCCCGCACAGGGGGTGCCGGCCGGCACAGGTTTCTCAAGTACGGCCGCCCTGCTGGGAAACTCACCTCTCAAGAGAGAAAGCAACGACCCCACTCCTTCCTCAGCGCGGCTCCCAAATGATCAGATCCCCAAAGCCCGGGTCAGTACAGAACTAAAAGTTTAGTTCAACGCATTCACCCCAAGTCAAGATGCCTTAAAGATTTGTTTTTCTTAAAACAGTGGTTTCACATTTTTCCATATAGCAGGTCCCTAAAAAAGGAGAGACCTTGCACGAAACTCCGACAGAAGCAGAGAGCAGGGCCAGAGATGTGATCTGCACACTGGGTTTCTGCTCTGTCCAGAGCTTCTCTCGCACGGCCTCACTGAATTCTTAACAACCGCTCTTTAAGACAGGTGTGATGAGCCCCCCGGCACACACGGGGACCGCGGAGGCGAGGGGAGCTCCTGAGATCACACAGGTCAAACCTGGGTCCCCTCGCCTCTGTTACAACTCAGGGGGTGCCAGGGCGAGCCGGGCGCAGACCTCGCCCCTAAGCGGCCCGCAGCCAGGTCGGGAGGCAGACCGGAAAAAGGCACCACTATGGTTCTTTACGGGCAGCCCGAGGCGGCACCGCCCCAGCCGCCCCTCCTCCCCACGCCCTCTGCTTCCCCTGCCTCCGGTGCGGCCCGAGCATCTCCCCCAGATCACCTCCTCGGACAGCTTCGTAAAGGGCCGCCCAAAAGCAGCTGCAAGTGCTCAAAGCTGATTACCACCTTCCGGGCCGGCGCAGATTAGCAGCCTTGAACCCCTGGCTTCACAGAAAGAACGCTCCTCCTGCAGACAAGTGTGTTACTGACTTCCTCTCCCCTTGTCCGCCCAGGTGTCTAGATAAGTACTGTTAAAACACAGCAGGCCCTCGGAATCCCACAACAGTCCCTCCCTCCAAACGAGATGAGGATCCTCCTGAAGTTGTATTATATTAGTGAATTTCCTTCAAGAAGACGAACACCAACACTCACAACCCGTTAGCCCAGTGGTTCTCAACGGCTGGGTAACTTTGCCCACCCCCCCCCCGCCTCCCCCCCACCCTGCCCCCAGACATAATCGGCCATGTCTGGTTGTCGAATCCAAGCCGTCCTCACCTAGAGGGCAGAGGCCAGGAAAGCCATCCATCTCAAAGCTCAACAGTGGGGAAATCCCTATTTAACTTTCTGAATAACTTGATTGAATGTAAGCACAAGCTGAAGAGAACTAAAGAGAACAAAGCTTAGGAAAACGATATTTAGAAATGACAATATTTATGGGGCTCCTGGTGCTCAGTCAGTTAATCGTCTGGCTTCAGCTCAGGTCATGATCTATCCGTCCATGAGTTCGGGTTCTCAATCGGGCTTTCCAAGTGACAGCTCGGAGCCTGGAGCCTGCTTCTGATCTGTGCTCTCTCTCTGCCCTCCCTCCCCTGCTGACACTCTGTCTCTCTCTCAAAAATAAGTAAACATTACAAAAAAAAAAAGAGTAGAGTAAAATAACTTCCTCAAGGTCACACAGCTTTTAAGGGGAGAGCTCACACTGACCCAGCCAGTCTGACTCCTGCCACCAGCACTGACTTCAGTACCCTCACAGGCTCACGCACCACACAGCCTCGCTCCACTCCCCACGGTCTGTGTCCCCCCCAGCAGCTGTGAGCTCCGTGAGGCCGGACCTCTCCGCTCAGGGCGGAATCTGCAACAGAGGCACCTACTGCAGGCTGGGTGAAGAACGGATCAAAAGAACGAAGGAGCCGGGTCCTGTCACTTCTGCTCCTGTCTTACCCAAGCCTTCATCAAGCAGTCAGGGCCACCAACAGGTCTGCTGCCTCAGGCCACAAGTCCCATGACCGTCTCCACCTTCCCGGCTCGGAGCCTCGAGACCAGCCTTCCACAATACTGTCTACGTTTCTCCTATGATTTCTCCTATGATTTCCTAGAAATCGGCTCGTGAGACAAGGGCTAACAGACAGAGGCGCAGGGTAAAGGAAGTTGCCTGGGATACTGGGGGGGACATTGGAGAAACAGGACTCAGAAGCTTGGGCTGGAAACCCCAGAGGACCAGCTCCGGCCTCAGCCCTGCCCTCCAGCAACTCATACGGTCCTAACTGTACCAGGCCCTCTCTGTAACCCACCTGTAAAATGTTTTGTGGGTTCCAAACATTTTTGGCACAGAACCCTTTTCCCCTCAAAGGAATCCTAGGTTGAAACTCTTCCAACACTTTAAGATTCTAGGACAAAAAACTCACTAGACTTAG